GCCCCGGGACTGAGTGCCTCTGCCACCCCAGCAGGCGGGCAGCCGGCCCTCCGCTCCCAGACCCTTCTTCACTGCTGTCTCTGCTCTACCTGGCAAGCTGAGGACTCGAGCTGGCCACCTGCGGGCTTCAACGGGAACGTTGCTGTCTGCACAGCTCAGAGAGGTCTTTCCAGAACCCCTTCCCATGCTGCAGCGCTGCAGGAGGGAGGGCGGCCTGTGTTTACCTGTTGAGCCCTCCATTGTGGAAGGGACCAGGTTGCCTTCAAGGGACTGGTGAGGCCCCTGTCCTCACACCTGGGTGTCTGTAGGGAGTGCTCCTGGGAGGTCCTGGCTCCGTGACATGCCTGTGGCAGCCCAGGAGGACCGCTGCTCACCGCTGTTTGCAGATCCTCATGCCTACGTTCTCCAGAGGAAAAGGGTGCTCCCCTCCCTCCACCTGCTCTTCCACCCGCTGCTTCCTTTCCTCATTGACTATCTCAGATCCTGCTTGTCAGGCCTTCGCAGACTGAAACCTCCAGGGCCGCGTGCGCTGAAGGCTGCTGGCCGGCTTCCGAACACGCGGGAGCCAGGCCGGCCTCCCACTTCACCCGCCTGAGGTGCAGCCGTGTCCTGCACCCTTACACGCTCGCTAAAGCAGGTCGTTGTGGACGTGAGAGCCTGCGGTGGGTTTCCCAGGCCCACTGCTGACTTCTGGAACGACCTAGTGTTCCTGCACTTAGATTTCTCTTTCTGTAATCGTCAGCCGTAGCGCTGCTACAGCCCCGGTGCGAGCACCGATAGCATGTCAGTGCAGTGCCCTCGCGGATGTTTAGGACAAAGGTATCGTCCCAGTGCACAGAGCCTTCCCCTCATCCCACGGGTCCTGTCTTTCCTTAGCCCCTGCCTTCCAGCGGCTCCTTCATCCTCCCCCTTGAACGTGTCTCCATCAGCCAGCCTCGCTTGTCTGCTTGCCCACCCGTCCCCAGACATGGGTCATCACCCCATGACACCGCTACTCCGCTATGGTTTGTATGCGGGATGCCCTTCTCCATCATCTGTCTTTACTGTGGGGGGCAGTGTTTTCTGTGGCACCATAAAATGTGTTGGGGACATATCCTGTTGGAACGACATCAGGAAATAAGCTCATGTCATAGTTGTTGGTTTTGTGTGTTTTTTTCCTTTTGCAACATGAAAAGCGAGACGCGCATGGCTGTTGGCATTTGTCCTGTGCTTCCCGCGCCGAGTTCAGCGGTCCGTGCTGTGCCACATGCGGTGCGTGTTCGCAGGGGCACGGCCAATGGGTCTGCACTGTTTGTCTGCCCGCAGCCGCTCCCGTGCTCAGCTGCGAAGCTGCCACGCAGACGGAGGGGAGACCGGATCTGGCCGCGGTGACCCTGAGGCGGGGTTTGCGACCCAGAGCTGCCAGGTGCAGGCCGCAGTCTCTCATAGACTACAAGTCGTACATCGACACCAAGCTGCTGGTGGCCAGGTTCCTGGAGCAGTCCTCCTGCGCCATGACGCCGGACATCCACGAACTGGTGGAAAACATCAAGTCGGTTCTGAAGTCCGACGAGGAGCACATGGAGGCGGCCATCACGAGCGCCAGCTTCCTCGAACAGGTAGTTTTAGTTTTATTATCCGGTGTGAGTCAGAGCCCTTGTTTCCACAGCAGCCAGAATGGCCTCTCCGAGTTCCTGTCTCGGGCGCCATAAGTCCGTGGTCGCTGTGTCTGGGGAACTGTGGTTCGGAGGTTGTGGGGGTGGGAGGGGGGTGGGGGGGGGAGTGGAGAGGAAGCCGGAGCACTTTCTTTTCAGGCGTGGTGACTTTCCCCAGCCTTCTTGGCCCAAAGGAAAAGGAACCCGTTTTTCCGGGCTGTGGATGCCTGGAAAAAGCGAAGGGTGCAGCGTGGGGCTAAAAGCAGGGCCTGGGCAGTGGGGTCACATGCAGCAGCTGGCTCCCTGTGTTGAAAGTGTCCCTGGATTCGGCATGTTTTCTCAGCCCTTTGACAATGACGGACATGCCTGAGTTTTAATATGGGCGAGACTCTGGGAGCTGTTCCCATTCCCGTGAAATGCTTGGCAAGATATCGAAGCTGATAGGCCTGGATGGAACACACACCCTTTCTTTCCAGGTTAAATCGTACAAGGCGATCCCCTGAGTGGAAGCCACAGGGGAAAAGATACAAGTGGGCGCGTGAATGATTCTCTTAGGGGTCAGGTCTCTCACGTGAAAGTGGAGGGCTGCACGAGGTGGTCCTGCACCTGTGTTTCTGAATGAAGGGACTTTCCTTCTGATGAGAACTGGGGATGGGCCACATCTTTGCTTACCCACCTCTTTTTAAAAGCGGTCACCTTGGGGGCGTTGACTGCACTGCTCCAGGGGCGTGGGGTGGTGGCGAAGGCCGCGGTGCTACCTGGCTGCGTGCAGCCAGTGCCCAGCAGACACTTCCTGAGTTGCAATGGGCTGATTCTCAGGTCGTTACCAGCACCAGGATCCTGGGTAAAATTTCAAGGCAGTTTGACCCGATCCCCTTCTCACTGTCCTTTCTGTTCCCCTTTTCTACCTCCTGGTCACTTCTAACAGAAGCCACAGCCAGAGTCTCTCCCAGCCCCTCAGGGGAGCACGAGAACAGTCCGATTCCTCGCATGAAGAGGTGCACGGGCCATGGACCCTCTTGTCTGCTTTCTGAAAGAGTGGTTGGCCCATGGCCCTGGGTCAGGCTCTAGGTAGTATCCTACGTTGGAGAGACATTTACATCCGGGAGTCCCTGGTCTGTGCAAAACGTCACTTCCTGCCTCCTTTCCCCTGTGCAGCCTCAGTAGCCACTAAACAGGAGGGAGCATTTGG